ACTTTATTATCATAAAAACAAAAAGTTTTTTGAGAACGTCTGTTTTTTGGGTTGGCAAAAGGATCAGCGGAAAGAGTATAGAAATTAAATATTTTTAAAATTATATTTTCAATATAATATAAATATTTAAGTTTTTTGTCTTATTATTTAAGTTAATCAATGCTTTTGTAATATTTATAATATTAATAAACAATATTTTTCACAAGTTTTTAGTCAAATTTATAATTATTTACTTAAATATTTTGATTTATAATAGTGTTAATAAGAAATATTTGAAATATATATATATATATTATTTTAAAAATTTTATAAAAATATAAGTTATATATTAAGATTATTAAGTATAAGCTTTTGCAATAAAAAATTAAATATTTTGAATATATATATTTTTTAAAAAAATTCTTGTTAATTTATATAAAATTAAATTTATATCAAATAATATTTCTAAAGTTTAATTTAATTATATACTATAGAAATTTTGTATTAAAGTTATTTATTGTTTTTATATTTCTTATTAATTTTTTTTACAAGAATTAAATTCTTAAGTAAAATAACAAAACACAAAAAGCATTTGATAATTTTTATAAAAAACTTATGTTTATTTTTGTTTTTTTTTTTATTTGATCCTATAAAATTATTCAATGTGATTATTAATACATTTAACTATATACAATCACTATTTTGTAATATAAAACTAAAGTAAAGGTAGATAATCTGTTGCTTATAAGTCAAAAAAATTATTATTTGTTAAACAAAACTATATTATATATAAGAAAGAATTGTTAGCAATCATTTATTAAGAATTAATAAATTCTAACCACATGTATAATTGTATATAATTGTAATAATTTTATGTTAAAAATCAATTTATCAATAGGTAAATATTTTAATTTAGATAAACATTAATTGTGAATAAAAAAAAACAAATTATTATTATAAATCTTTTGAATAAAAAATTTTTTAAAAAATTAGAATGAAAATAATATAACTTGAAATATTATTATTGCTTACTATTGAACTTATCTATCCGAATTTTGCATGTGTTAATAAGTAGATAGGCTAGCATTGATTTATTATCGCATATAATGTGATAACTGGATAAGCAACATATGATGCGTATCACCGACATATCATGTCAGATGATGATGATAGCTTGAATAAATGAGAACTGCTTTTTCATTCATTGTTGGACAAGGTTTCCGCGAGAATGTCTGAAGATAAACCTGTCACAGACATTATTACTTTGACTCGCCATGTTCTTGAAGAACAGCGCAAATATAAAGATGCCAGTGGAGACTTAACTTTGTTGTTGAATATCATTCAACTTGGTTGTAAATTTGTATCAACTAATGTTCGAAAGGCTCGTCTGTTGAATTTGTAAGAATCTTTAATTTATTCTGGGACATCCTCGGATTCGTCCAATAATTTAATTATTTGTAATTCCTGGAATTTCAATCTAATCACATAAGCCTTAATCGAAGGAATTATTTAATTGCTTGAATTTTAAATTGACAGAGTTGGTCTCGCTGGTGGTGCTCAAAATGTCTCCGGTGAAGATCAAAAAAAGCTCGATATTATTTCTAATGAAATTTTTGTAAATGCGCTTCGTTCTTCCGGAAAAGTATCTGTAATGGTATCTGAAGAAGAAGAAGCAGCGATAATTGTGGAAGAAGGGTTGAAAGGAAAATATTGCGTTGTCTTCGATCCGTTGGATGGGTCCTCCAACATTGACGCTGGTGTTAATGTTGGCACTATTTTCGGTATTTATCGAGTGGTGGGTAAATTCAAATTTCTCAGAAGCCAATTAGAGTATATCGCATTAACCATCCATTGATCGATAATTAGCTTGAAGATTCCTCTGGTAATATCTCAGATGTTCTTCGACCTGGTCGAGAAATGGTCGTTGCTGGTTACTGTATGTATGGTAGCTCGGCAAACATGGTTATCTCGCTTGGAAATGGTGTGAACGGTTATACCCTCGACAATGTGCGTTTAATGTAACAATAACCGTGTAATTTTACATGCATGTGATTTTCGGACAAACACTTTAAAATTTTATTTGTCATCTTAGGGTATCGGCGAGTTTATTCTTACCCATCCCAACGTAAGTTTTTCACCTCTGAATTTGATCGCGTCATTAATTTTTATTAATATTTTAATCTTGTAAATTGGCAGATTAAAATTCCGCCTCGTGGTAAGATATACTCTGTTAATGAAGGAAACTCCAAGTATTGGGACGAAGTCTGTACGGAATACTTCCATTCCCTAAAATTTCCACCCGAAGGAAAAAGTTCATATTCAGCCCGCTATATTGGATCAATGGTAGCAGATGTTCATCGTACACTTCTGTATGGTGGAATCTTCGCGTACCCGTCTGACAAAAAATCGAAAAACGGCAAACTTCGTATATTATATGAATGTTTCCCAATGGCCTTTTTAGTTGAACAAGCTGGTGGAAAAGCTATTACTGGTACAAAGAGAGTACTCGATGTTGTTCCCGAATCAATTCATTCAAGATGTCCAATTTTCTTGGGTAGTAAAGAAGATGTTGAAGATGTGGAAAGACTGTACCAAAAACACGCTCAATAAATTCAACAAAATACAGTAGTGTTCTTTGTATCACGTGTTAATCACGAAAAAAAAATCCATAAATGATCAACATTTTATGTAATATGTTATTATTATTTGTACGTACATACATTCATAAATTCCATTTACCATAACAAATGTCGACTAATTTATTAGTTTCTGCTTCAACGACTGTTAAAATTTGGGATATCACGGCAATCACGAGAAGTACTAAAGCTAATGGAAGTACTAACTCGAGTGTGCCAGAACAGTTGTTTGGAGTTGAATTGACTTCTTTCAAACCCGAGGGTACCTCGGAAACGATCAATGCGGCTCGTTGGAGTCACGACAGTATCCTTATATATTTTCGCGTTATTTTAAAAAATAAAAGCCATTTCGAAGAAAAGAATTCGTTTCCTTGATGTCTTATCATTAATTATTATTATATTAGACCAGCACTTGGCCGTGGCAGGAAGCGAGGGAGCTCTTACAATACATAATCCGCAAGGGAAGCTACTTGAATCCATAACACCAAGCGTGGATGGATTGGTAAGTTGGCTTATAATAATAATGCTTTGAATCGTTCTTAGTTTATATGACTCCGATTAATATATGTCATATTCCCATTAGAAGACCCCAAGTATAAATTCCGTGCGTTTCGCGAATAAATCAAGATATGTGTTGTTCGGAGGTTCAGATAAAGTTGTGAATATCTGGGACCGTGAAAACTCAACATTTACAGACCCACTGAAGGTAATGGATTTAATTTTTGTGTATTATCCGTTCACTCAAATCTAAACTTGATAAAAAAATTGCACTAGGGACATCGCAGTGATATCACGTGCATAGATTTGAACGTTGATGAAGCCATTGTGGCTAGTTCTAGTTCAAGTGGACACATTCTCGTGCATAACCGATTGAAGTCTAATACGTGTGATAACCTGACCGTGTTGACGAAACAAGTGAGCTCAATTCTCTTAATATTTTCTTCATCTTTAACGTGACTCATCCAACATACTTGAATGATGCAAAATTTAGCCAATAAATGTCTTGGAATATTCTTTTTTTAAACGGGGACTGTTAGCCGCCGGTGGGGATGACGGGTCGTTGCGATTATGGGACACTAGTGTTTCTACAACAGCGTTACAAACATTTGAAAACGTGCATCATTTTGCAATCAGGGGGATAGCATTTTCACCCTTTAATTCACATTTGATGTGTAGCGCTGGTTTAGACAATCATATCGTTCTTTATGATGTTGGCAAAAAATCGTACGTAAAAAATTTGATGATCAATGATTATTTTTAATTCTCTGTATCTTAATCGTTAAATTCTCGCTGAAAAAAAAAGAACCCTGAAAACAATTTACACGGAAACGCACCTGACAGCATTAGGTTTCAAGACCGACGGAGTAACAATAGTTGCCGGCACGCAGAATGGTTGGATGAAAATTTTTGTTTGTCGCAATTTCTTCGTAAAAAGTTTTTTAATTCATATATTCAGCACGTTATGTTAAACAGGCAGGATATTAGTATACGACCTGCGATCTACAAGCAAACCAATGTGTACTTTATATGGACACGAATCATTCCCGATCAAATGTTTACACTTTCAGGTATGTTTTTTCCATTTAATAATTTCAATTGAATTCCCGAAATTGGTCTCATTTAGATGTTTCTTTCAATAGGAGAAGGAACGCTCTACGGAAAGGCGTTCAACCTTAGGTAGAAAATTGAGACCTAGTCGGCCACCATCTAAGGGATCGATTTCTCCTTCTTCTTTTGTTACGCCAACTAAAAGTACACTTCCCCCATCAACCCCGAATGAGTCAAAAGATAAAAATATTATGGATGTGTTTTCACCAGTAAAAGACACTACTACAGAAGAGACTCATGGAAATGCTAAACCTAGAGAACCTGTAATTAAGGAAAAACAAAAATTGACACAAAATAATGGAGTGCCAAAGGAAATCACAAAAATTAGTACAATGGACTTAAAGTTAAATGACGAAGTTACGCAGGATGAAGCTAAAAGAGACAATGGTTTTTTAAATGATGTATTGGTTACTGGAACAATGGATGATCTGAGGACAAAAATTGTTTCCAAGGTTAAAGAAACAATAGATGGTACCCGAGGAATGTCTGTAAATGGCAGTGATCCAGTCCTACCAAATATTGCTAACTCAAGAAAGCGCGTTTCATTTATTGATAACGAAATGATGTCCGAAATTCAAGAATTAACAACTGAGAAGGTAAGATTAACGCATATACAAGAAAATCAGTTGAATCAATTAAAACTAATATACCGTATATTAAACCCAAAATTATGTAGCCATCGGTAATGCCTCAATTGAACGGTAGTAATGGAGCTCATGACGCGACTATCCTGAGGGAAATAATTTTGCCTTCTGAGGAAGCTAATGTCACTCTGCAACCTCCTTCGCCGAAAATTCCCAAAGGAATAGATAGATCAACTTCACCTGAAGTTATAGTACCTACTCTTGATCCCACAGTTGACGGAGATGGTGTCTTAATTCCTGTCGAAAATAACAGCAATACAGGATCTGCGACGAATTTTCAGCTTCAAGTTATCGGAAATGTGGTTGACGAATGTTTACAAGAATTTCGAATATCTTTACGAAATGATATACAAAACATGCATTTGGAATTGTTGCGCCAATTTCATATACAAAAGGTTTGTACCTATTGATTTATATACTTGTAATGATTAACCATAAGAAAACAAAATTTTTTTTTTTTTTTATAATTAGGAAGAAATGGAGCTAATGTTTCTAAAATATTGCGGTGAAACTATGTCATTGCGCGAAGAGGTTGAAAGGCTTCGGGAAGAAAATCAAAGGTTAAAGATGAAGTTCTAAGCGAAGTAATACTACTGTAATAAGAAAATGTAGGCAAAAAAATTAATCGGAAGTAATAGTTAACAAGGATTAATACAACTTAACAAAAAAACACAAGTGTAAATACAAAAATGTGACAATTCATAAAGAAATTAATGACATTCAATTAAAATGATCATTCAAAAAGGACAATAAAAACACTGAATCTTGATTCAAAGATAATATTAGATTTATAAATATTACGTAATCAATCATAGTAGCCATAAATTTAATAGTGGGATATTATATTAATTTATAAATAAGCTAATTATAATTATTTTAATAAAAATAAATGAAAAATAATTAAAAATTTTATATTAAAATCAAATATTAAAATTTTTTTAAAAATTAATTTTATAAAATAAAAAATAATAACTTTTTATATAAAATTAATTAATATATAAAAATTATAAAATAATTTTTTATCAATTAAATAATTTTAAAAATATTTTATATAAAATAAAAATTATTATTATTTCATTTATAATTTTTATTTAAATTTATATATATGATTTTTTAATCAAAATTTATTAACAAATTCTTATAAAAAATAATTTTTGTTTTTTCTATTTTAAAAAATTTATTTTTAAAGTTTTATGTTTAATAAATAAATATTTAATTTAAATAGTCTAGTTCAAAAAAAACCAAAATAAATTATATTTCCAATTTTATTTATAATTTAATAATTAAATAAAAATTTATAAATAAATAAATAAATATTTATTTAAAAAATAAAAAATAAGTTTACTTAATAAGCTTTTTAAATATATTATCAAAATATTCTTAAATTTCAACTTAAAAAAAATTATATAAAAAGGTTTTTTAATATAAATTAATTTTTGAAATTAATTTTTTAAGTATTAAAAATCAATTACTAATTAAAAATTTATTTAAAATTTTATAATTCTATAGATTTTAATTCAATAAATTTAAATTTTTTTAATTTAATATATAGATTTTTTTCTTTTAAAAAATTATTTTTTAATAATTTTATTGTAAATTTTTGAATTTTTGAATTTTAACTGTTTTTTTTTTTATATCAAAAATAAAATATAAAGTTTTATAAATTTATAAATTTAAATACAATAAACTTAAAAATTAATTAAGATATTAAAATTTTTTAAAAAAATTTTAAAAAGTTTTACTGTATACCATATATACTATATACAGTTTCTTTAATAAATAAATGATTATTTAAAAATTATTATAATTAAACAAAAATAGTTGTCATATATTAAACTTTTTATTTTATTAATAAAAATAACTTTTATATATTAAGTAAACTTGTTTCAAATTATGAATTTTATATACTATTAAATTTTTATTAAATTAAAATAAACTTTTATTATTACATTTAACGATTTTTTTTGAATAAAAATTTTTAAATTTTTTTATTAAAATTTTGATATCTATATGATTTTTATAACTACTGGTTTGATAAACAAATTTAATATTAATAAATTTTGTTTAGTATATTTTAAAGTATTTAAATATAAAGTTTTATAAATTTTATCTAATATTTAAAGTTTTATTTAATAAAATATACAGTTTTTTAAAAATAACAAAATATTAAATTTTTATATTTAATTATAATTATTAATTAATTATTAATTTTTTTTTTATAGATAAATATTATTTCTTTATTTTATTTGTATATAACAAGGTATACATCGTGAAAGAAACAATATCTCTCATATATTGATACAATGAGTTAAATACTAGCTTATTTATAGTAGCCATACAACTAATATTGAAAAAAAAGTTTAAAACAATATATCTTGTCATATGATATCGAGCAGCTATGAATACCTACTCAGTATTAAGAGGAATGATATTTGGAAGAGATAATACTAATTTTTGAATGCACTTGTTATAATTATAGTTACATTGAATAAAAGAGTTAGTGACAATTGTTAATAAGTCTATGATGGTTTCATTTTGTGTATAATTGGAGTATGAGCTTCTGCTAGAAGCAGTATAATTTCTTTTTGTTTTAATTAGGTTAATGATGTTCAGTAATTCATTTGATTTTCATTTGATATCTGTGAGGGGTAAGGTATTGACAGTGTTGCATCATAATTTTCGGATTGAGTTATATAATTGGATTAGGGATTCAGTTGATACTTTAACCCAGTTGATGATATCTATTGTAAAGAAGATTCTATCAGTCATGTCACATAACAATTCTATGACTTACCATATGTAAAAAATTGGTTTGAGATTGTTATCTGAATGAAAAATTTAATTGATATTGTTTATAATCTGATTGACTTTTTCTAAGGCTTCAGAACACTTGAAAACATGTTAGATGTCTTCAATATAGAGTTTGTATCTTGGGGAATACCCATTTAGATATTAGTTAGGGTGATATTGGTGGAGTGTTTGATAAGTTAAGAGTATTCCTGAAAGAAGTTTAATTCTGAATGCTATTAGGTTGCTATAGCTATTGTTATGTACCTTTTTGATATTTTTATTGAATTGATTAATGATTTTTAAACCATGTAGGGTATGGTGCCATTCAAAGGTTTGGAGAACTGAGGTGCTTTCACAGATCATATAATTTCTGGTAATACTGAAAATTTTTTTACACCATCTGATACTACTGTCTAGACACATGTTATTGATTAGAGGGCTTTCTGAGAAGTGTGGTAGATAGTTGCTCCATTGGATTGTCTTGTTTGTAAATGGTCTGGATTTAGGTTTGATATATATAACTTCTATTGATTTCTGGTTCAAAATTTGATTTATTTTTTGAATTAGGGAAGAAAGTTAATTTTGACTATTCTTCTCAAATAAGTTGATACTGGTTGAAGAATTTTTTTGTTATTTCTGATTTCAATAGTATTGTATTGGGCACTTTATTGAATGATGTCAAGTATTGCTAGTAGAATATTGCTAAGAACTAGACAGGTACTGGAGAGTTTTACCTTGCGCTTATTGATGACTAAATAGCTTTTGTGAAATTAGATATAATAGTATTGGTAGTGCCCCACTTCTTGAAGTGATACTCTGAAAGGTAGATTGTTATTAATATTAATTAATTGGAGGATTTATTTGCTTCTGCATAATAAGTTAATGGTTTCATCGATGATATTTAATAGTCAGTATTTGTTAGTACTGAATGGATTGAGTAATATCCATAAAGTTGATGCTGTTGAGCTTGTAAATATTATTTAGCAAAAGTCATAAGATTGTATACCGGCTGGGTATTCTGAACACTTGAGAAGATTATTAGTTAGATTTATTATAAAGTGCTTTCCCTTAAGCATTATTCCTTCTTACACTAATAATTGACTCTTATGGATTTTAACTATTGTGTTTGAACTATGTACAAACCAAAATGTTGTTCTGGTATTTGGTATTGGACCATATGATCCTATGAGATTCTTATTATTTGCAAAGGTTTTGAACCAATTTGGTTCTGGATTGAGACAAATTATTCCTGTATATGAGGTAAGTTGGTACTAGATGAGTTTGATAGTGCTATTGAACTTTAATAGCTGATTAGTAAACTTTAGATTAAATGTGTTTGTTATGTTTATTGCTGTTTTTTTGAATTGGAGTTGTAGAAATTATTATGTAATTAATTTTAATTAATTACTAATAGTAATTACATATAAAAAAAAATATTTTTTTTGGAGGGTTTCCCCTCATAGTTAAGTATTATTTCTTTATTTGATATTGTATATAACATGATATACATCATGAAAGAAACAACATCTCTTATGTACATATGTAGCAAGTTAAATGCTAGCCTGCCTACATAAACACATCTAGCTAATATTGAAAAAGAAATTCAAAACAA